CCAGCATAAAGGCCTGTAGCTGCTTTGGTCTCTCTGAATTTCTAACTTACTTTTTTGGAAATCTGATAATATTTGAAATACCAGTTAAAATCTAGCAATATAATGTTTCTTATGAATGCTCCCCCGCCAAAAATCTAATAACATTGCATAAAAAAAGACAAAGTAACAATTTTCTTTCTTCAAAACCACTCAGCTATGCAATCTTTAGTTCTTTTAGACCTTCAGAAGGTATGATCAGTATGCATAGGAAAAGTCATGTCTCTTACTTCACTTTGCAAGAGTGCACAGTAGAGCATTAATAGCTGCATTGCCTTGTTAATAAACTTCAGTCAAAATGCTTTGGGAGATAATTTGATTAAAAAAAAGGATAAAAAACACCGAAGCTGAAATATTGCTTTTATAAGCTGCAAGATCAATTCACCATGTGCTTTTATAATCAACTGAAATATATACATTTAAACAGAAAACACAGATGACTTAGCATCCTCCCATATCATGTCAGTGAGCGTGACTAGTTCCTTGTAATTTTTTTTTTTCTAATACTCTCTTGTGCTCTGACTTATGAAGGAAAAACTTTCCATGAAAAATGTGTGCTACTTTTCCACTTTTGGCCTTGTATGTGCTTCTTCTCTGCCTTAATTACAATATAAATCAACTGCAAAAAAAGATTTACAGTGATTACACCTCACTTAGAGAGCTGTGAAGATTGATCTGGAAGGGGTATGTTTGTCAAGCTCTGTGTCTACTTCTCATCTTAGCTAGTTCTAAAGGGAATCCCAGGACAACATATTCAAAAAGAAGTAAATGTGGGAGGGAAAAGCTGTGGCATATCATTCTGTTCTTTGTGTTCTCATTGAATATACCAACAACTTACTCTTAGAAAACTCCAGGACTTTTCAAACCGTGTGAACTTCAAACCCAAATATTTACTACATTAGAAGAAAATATCACCGTAGCTACCGAACTGATCCCTGAGTATCCCCCATTTTCTCTGTACCCAGCTGGGTGAAATAGAAATTGAAACACGAACCTTCGTATTTCAAATGAATTAATTTTTTCTTTTAAGATTTTATTTGTTTATTTTAGAGAGAGAATGGAAGCGCTTGCAGACTTGAGCATGCAAGTGTGGGTAGGGGCAGGGGAAGAGGGAGAGTCCTAAGCAGACTCCGCATTGAGAGTGGAGCCTAACTTGGGGCTCGATCTCACGACCCTGAGAGCATGACCTCAGCCAAAATCAAGAGTCCCACACTCAACTGACTGAGCCACCCAGGCACCCCTCATATGGATTAACGCTTATCACCACCAGTAAAAATTTATTAAGGACATATATTCAGGTCATTGTACTAGTTTCTTGGAGAGAAGTTAATCAGTCCTTACTTTTAGGCAGTTTGTCTTTTTTCTAGGGTAAATTCATTATCAGTGTGATCACACCAGGCAGAACAAAAACATACAATTAAGAAACTAAGCTGACACAATATAATGCATCCTTACATTGTATCAAGTCTCATAGCTTGACATAACTTTCTGTACCTCTACAGACATCTGTCTTGCCCACCCCATTGCTGTTCAAGGCAGGCTGGTGCCACTCTGGTCTGAAGGATCAAGGAGATGAAATAGCATGCCTTTAGATTTATTGGTGTTGGATTTCTTTGAAAGCCAACATGACTGCTTCATTTAAAAAGTGACCTCAGTGATTCCTTCTTGATGAAATGTAATAAAGCCTCTAATAAATTATTTTTTTAAGATTTTATTTATTTATTTGACAGACAGAGAGCACAAGTAGGCAGAGAGGCAGGCAGAGAGAGAGGAGGAGGCAGGCTCACTGCTGAACAGAGAGCCCAATGCAGGGCTCCATCCCAGGACCCTGGGATCATGACCTGAGCTGAAGACAAAGGCTTTAACCCACTGAGCCACCCAGGCGCCCACCTCTAATAAATTATTAGGAGAGCTATTTACTAATTTGCCACTATATCCCCTTTAAAAATGGGCTTTATCTTTCCAAACAATACTCCTGAAAAATCATGTTTTCCTATTCAATGGTTACCTACTTTTATTGTTTCCCTACAGTGAAAGGGCTCTTATTGAAGAACCAAGTGCCAAAGATTTTCACTCTCAGTTCATGTGAGGACTCAGAAAGGAGTGTAATCATACTTTAAAAATAAAGTATATTCTCAAATCTAGAAATTAGCTAGTAATTGAAATTATCATCACAGTATTTTAACTGATGACCACTGAACTCTTTTCTGGCAAACGGCTCATAGAGCATTAATTGCATGTCACATTACAGACTTGCAGAGTTAAGTTCTGTCTTGTCCTTGGGACTGTGAGTTCTAAAGCAACTTTGTAAGTGTCTTTTAGGGTACAAAAGAAATCATTAAACTGCAGAAGTTCTGTTTGGTCTGAGAGAGATGTACTTCATTGTCCCTTCAAATATCATTCCCTGTTCCTCAAACCCATATTATCATCTACCACTTTAGACGGTGCTAAGAAGTTCCACTGCCTTCTACTTCTACCCACAGCATCCAAGTAACTAAGGACACCCCAGAAACGATTTTCAAAATAAAGCAAATTCAAAGGGTTT